TTGGTTGTTTGGGTTTTCTCCCGCGTAAGATTCGAAGTATCTAGGCAACGTTTGAAGAATCACTCTGAGAAGCAAGAGCCGAAGACAGAAGCCTGAAGATGATGAATGAGACTTCATCGAAACGTTGCCTAGATACTTTGAATCTTACGCGGGAGAAAACCCGAACAACCAAAGATCCATATATATATATATATTTACATACATACATACATACATACATACACACACATATATATCTTCTTTTTCTATTATGCTTTTTCTGGGAAAGAAGGGCACTAGGAGTAGTTTTGAGTCTCCTTCCCCAGCTCCCCGCACCCCGAGCCCGGACACTCCGAGAGCACCAAGGACGTTAAGAGAAGCGGACTTCAGCTCCCAGAATTCCCTCGTTTTTTTTTTCCCCCTTTCCTAGGAGTTGCACCGGCATATCGAGGAAGGCCTGGGCCGAAACATGTCCGATCGTTGCTCTGGTTCCATCTCCGCCTCTTTGCAGACCATGCAGCAAGAAATGATTGGTGAGCATCCCTTGGGAGGATGGGAGGTCCTCTAGTCCCACCCCCAGGCGGTAACTCTTGTTTCCTCCCCTAGTTGTGCTCAGATGTGGGGTGTCCTAACACACACACACACACACACACACACACACACACACGTGTCTTCTCCCTCCCTGCCTTTCAGATGGGCTGAAGCCGCTCCTCCCCGTTTCCCTGAGGGGGCAGATTGAGCTGCTGGTCCCCAGGCAGTGCTTCACCCTCAGCTACGACCTGAACTGCGACAAGCTCTGCGCCGACTTCCAGGAAGACATCCAGTTCCATTTCTCCCTCGGCTGGACCATGTTGGTGAACCGGTTTCTGGGGCCCAAAAATACACGCCGGGCCTTGATGGGCTACAGCGACCAGGTGAGAGGGAGGCTTGATAGTGCGAGGTAGATTCCCCCTGCACATGGAGGCTTGGCTTCGCCCGAGACCTTGCAATACATCCTGTCAAAACCCACCGAGGGAGGCCAAGATGTGTCGTCTTCGTTTTCCTTCCAAACTGACCTTTGCTGGCGTGGAGTTTTACTCCCCTGTGTCCTTTCCCCTGGCCTCGGTTGCTGCATCTGCAGAATGGGTGCCAGAGGCTGAAATTCTCACCCCCCCAGAGGCAGCAGCCTCTCTTGCCTTTCCTGCCCCTAACTTGCCCCTGACCAAGGCTTCCCCCAACAGCACAAAACTGAGTCCTCGTCCCGATAAAACCCTTTCATTTGATTTACAATGAATTTCCTCTCCAACAAAGTCCTGGCCAGCAGTCTTTCATGATAGTTCCCAATTATAGACCTTTATCAGGCTTGGAGAGGGGCCAGGCCGGTATCTTTCAGACACAGCAATACTTGACAAGCCTGCCGAAGTGAACTAATAGTTTCCTGCAAAGTCCCTCTCCCCTTTTATACTCTAGGGGAGGGGCCATTCACCGTCCACCTGTGACTTTACTCCCAAGTTGGCCCTTGTTCCTTGGCTTCTCCCTTCATCTGGCAGCTCTGTGCATGTGCACACTGGGAACAGGCTCCAGCTGCTCTTCTTCCCCACTGATCTCCGACTCCGAAGGCAGCTGATAACTGTTGGACGGCCCTGGCCCCATCTCTGCCTCCGAAGCAGAGCCCTCGTCAGAGCCTTCCCCAGACTCCAGGGCTGGCCCAGGTTCTGCCGAGCCTGCCACCAGATTTGCTAGCCACTGTCGGACTACGACATAAATATCCAATTTTTGCCCACCAGGTTCAGCGTCCGTTGCCCCTGACCCCGGCGAACCCAAGCCTGCCCCCCATGCCACAGGGATCCTTGACTCAGGAGGAACTGATGGTCTCCATGGTGACCGGCCTGGCCTCCCTCACCTCCAGGACTTCCATGGGCATCCTGGTGATTGGTGGAGTGGTAGGTTTTGGGGGGAGCGATCTCATAAAAGAAATGGGGTGATGGAGGCCAACTTCCTGATTTCTCTCCAAGCCCTTCCAGGCAGACGTGAAAGCACAATTCAGCCGTTCCAAAGTTAGTGGACCCCGCTAGCTAAGGGCGATGGGTGCTGTAGTCCCCATCTGGAATCTCCCTCTAGTTCAATGATTTTCTTTCCTGCTTGCTCTGAGGTGCTGTCCTTGGCTCTATTTTATTTTCATTTATCAAATTTATTGGCCACCCGTCTTACCACAGGGTAATGCTGAGCAGACCAGTCAGCGTAATTTTAGGGTGTATATTTGGGACCCCGTTTTCCTACAGCTTTTGAGGTATTGGGGACATACTTTAGCTCGTTGGATGCTGCAAACCCGGTTTGTTTAAAAAAATCAAGGAGAGAAGCAACCTAGAACTAAGGAGAAACTTCCTGACAGGGAGGACAATTAACCAGTGGAACTGCTTGCCTCCAGAAGTTGTAAATGCTCCAACACTGGAAGTTTTTAACAAGAGATTGGATAACCCTTTGTCTGAAGTGGTTTTGGGTTTCCTGCCTAAGCAGGGGGTTGGACTAGAAGACCTTCAGGGTCCCTTTTCTCAACCCTGTTATTCTGTTCTATCCTGTCAGCCGTCCCGCGTAGTTCATTCAGCAAATAAAAGACTCCGGGGGCCTTTTCACTTTCTGAGAGGACAGTGTACTGAGCTGGCATGGATACAGAAGTAGCCACGCCAATTCTAAACGGGTTCGCGTGCCAATAGCATAATTAAACGTCCCTCTTTTCTCCTGGCCCTCCCGTAGTTGTTTTATTTCCTCCAATCCATCACATTCATTTTTGTTTGGGTAACTGTTCTGACCCAAACCCTTTTCCAATAAAACAAAACACAAACCAAAGGGAACATAAACCTTTTAATGATTCTTGCGAATCGCCGGTTAAAAGGCTGCTGCAAAGCACAAGCTTCGCCAAAACTATGTTAGTTTTCCAAGAATAACAGATAAGAAAGATTTCACAACACAAAGAGTCTTCAAATACCAACTTAAGATACTGTAACGTCCATGAGGCTGAGTTTCAAAATGTCTTTGCTTCCTGCAAAGAACGTTTGGTTCACAGCTGGCTTTTATCCTCTTGAAGGAGGGGCCATTACCTTGCAGCGTTACCCCCGAGTCGCCTGTGCTGTTGTAGCTGCTCTTTCCTGCAAGCAATCCTGCGTGCACGCGCACTTGGCACAGGCTCCTCGGGAACCTCCTCATCGCTGCTGCCAGCCCCCACAACCTCTAAAGGCAGCAGTTCACTCCCTGATGGTCCTGGCCCCTCATCTGAGTCCTCGCTTTCCTCAGCTGCCTGCACCTGCTGCCAGCTAACCACAACAGTAACAGTCTCTTCGTCTAGTAGACGTCCCCAGCAGTTGACCTTTAGACGCTAGCTCTCCTGTTCTTTTCACACACACACACACACACACACACACACACACACACACCTCCCTTACATTGCAATCCATTCCCTCCCTCCCATTGCTTCTTGTCCATGCCAGCATTCCACGGGGATGGGCTTCAAAAAATTTAGCAACCAGTTCTCTGCCCGGTGGCTGGCTGGGCATGGCCATGGTGGGTGTGGCCTAGTCGACCTCATGCACCACGGGGGGGTGGGGGGGGCTTTTTGCCCTCCCTGGGCTCTGGAGGCTTTCCTTGAGTGTCCAGAAGGGCAAAAACGACTTTTCCACGGCTCCGGAGGCCGGAAATGAGCTTACCAGTAGTTGCAACTACAGGTTCGGCAAACCAGATGTAAAACTAGCATCCGGTTCGCCTGAACTGGTGTGAACTGGTAGCAGCTCAGCCCTGGCATTCCCATAGAATGTGCCCATAGAAAGCAGAACTCGGAGGCAGGTAGATCCCCAAAGGACAATTTTAATGGATACATCCTATTGGCACAGACTGGTGAAAACCGACTCTGAAAGTTCCCGCAGTTTTCATCAGATTAAAGGAGAATAATTTTTCCATGGTCCAATCGAGGTGCCGGACAGTTGCTTGGTTACTTCGCTCCTCCTCTCATAAGCCACCTGTTGGAATGACCTTGGTGCCCACAGGAAAACTTTTCATTTTTGATTGCGACATCCCAGCTAATTATTTCCCTCCCTGCTCTCAACTAGTGGCAACCCCGAAGCCTCAAAGATGGCCCCAACCGGGTTCGCTTCAAGGTTGGCTGTCCAGCTGGGAGCAAAGCGTTTTCAAAGTGAGCCAAACTTCAGCCATGACACATCCCATTAAAAACTGCCCTTCTTTCTGAGGCCAAGCCGGTTTCCTTTCTTTTTTTTCCTGATTTTTATTATTTTATATCATACATTTCCTTTCTATGTTGAGCAGTGTGCTCTCTGGGTGTCCAAGGTGTTAACTTACAAACATCATCATCATTACGAATATATATATATGTATATGTATATGTTTTCTTAAGTTTTCGCACGTACTTACGTTTGGTATTCAGCTTTGTTCGGGTATTTTCCCACTTCATTATAGTTGTGCTTTTAAAGTTGTAGCAACGTTTTGGCAGAATCTCATCTGCCATCATCAGGCTTCTATATTGTGTTCGTCTGTGAGTCAGGCTTTCACAGCCAGTTCAGTTTTAAATTTGGGGCTAGCCTACTGCTGTGTTAGAATGGTTTTTTCTTCATCCTGATTGGTTGGGAGTCTTTAGTCTGTGTTTATTGGTCTTGGAATTTGCTATGTTCTGCTTGATTGGTGTTTCTAATATCTTCTGCCTGTTTTGTGGCTTTTTTTGTCTTGATTGGCTGGCAACATTGTGTTTCTGTATTGGAGGCTTTTAGTGCAGCTTGGCTCCGAGTAAATGGACGGCTATCATTTATTAGGAAGCTAGGTTTCATCTGGGTGCCTGGTTGGGGTGTGTTTGAGCTGAAGGTATCAGGGGGGATCTGTTTGTGCCCTGGTGTTTGCCTGGCTTGTGGTGTGAAGATTTTTTTGTTTGTGAGTGCAGGCTTCCAAATAATTGACAGTCTGGTGGAATCATCTCTTCTATTCATGCTTTCAGGTCTTTTTTCAATCTCTATGGCTTCTGTGATGATTCTGTGGCTGGGATTTTCTATAGTGGCTAGGGTTTTGGGGCCATTGAAGTTGATGCTATGACCTGTGGCTTCCATGTGTTGGACTAGTGAGGAAGTGTGTTCCAGCTTTTTGACTGCATTTTTGTGTTCATCCAGGCGGGTACTTATTCTTCTATTGGTCTGTCCAATGTATGTGGCAGGGCATGATGCGCTGGGGACTTCATATATGCCTTGGTTTTCCAGGTCAACTTTATCTTTGGGGTTTCTTAGGATGGCTGCTATTTTTCTGTCTGTTTTGAAGGCAATCTTGATGTGATGCCTGTGTAGTATCTTACTGATTTTGTCTGGAGTACCTCTTATGTAGTATAAAAGGAATGAAAATTAAAAAGGAAGAATTTAAATTGCAAGCCTTTGCGGACGATTTGGCTTTTATTCTGGAAGACCCTTTAGAAACAGCACCAAAACTATTGGAAAAGATAGAGGCATATGGTAAGGAGGCTGGTTTGAAAATAAATAAAGATAAAACAAAGATCTTGACAAAGAATATGCTACTAAGACAAAAAGAAGAACTGGCAGACCTATTGAAAATTCAAGTCACGAACAAGGTTAAATATTTGGGGATACATTTGACAGCGAGATGTAGCACATTAAAAGAGAACAATTACATTAAAATCAAGCAACAGATAGCAATAGATTTGACGAAATGGGAAAATCTACAATTGTCATTAATAGGGAGAATTTCAACAATCAAGATGAATACCTTACCCAGAATTTTATACCTGTTTCAAACAATACCAATTAGGCTTGGAAAAGACTATTTTGAAGATTTAAATAAAATTGTGTTGAAATATATATGGCAAGGTAAGAAAGCGAGAATAAAGTTAAAACTCTTGCAAGATGCTAGAATTAGAGGAGGATTTGGTTTGCCTAATTGGGAGTTGTACTGCCAAGCTACAAACTTGATGTGGGCTAAGGAATGGATAACATTAAGAAATACTAGACTGTTGACATTAGAAGGTCATGATTTGTTGTTGGGGTGGCATGCTTTTCTGTGGTATAAGGGAACTAAAACACAGGGCTATTTTAGAAGACATTATATACAGGAGTCTCTGTGGTTAAATTGGGAGAAGATTAAAAGACAATGTTATTTGAAAATTCCAGTCTGGTTATCAACTATTGAAGCATTTTCCTATCCTATAATATATAAGAAGGAACAAACAGTTAGATATGGGGAAATATTGGATGAAAAGGGTGTACTTAAAACATAGTTCAGTCTTTATGTGTGTCTTGTCTGCCAGGCGTTTGGTTCTGGCGATTAGTCTTTTGGCCATGGAGTTTATCTGTGTTGGGTGGTGGTGGGATTGGGCGTTGAGGTAGCGGTTGGTGTGTGTTTTCTTCTGGTATATGGTGTGTCCTAGTGTGCCATCTGTTTTTTTGTAGATTAGTACATCTAGGAATGGTAGTTGTCTGTTTGTTTCCGTTTCCATGGTGAACTTGATTTTGGGGTGTGTGCTGTTTAGGTGTGTTAGGAAATTGTTTAGGTTTTCTTTTCCATGGGGCCAAATCACAAATGTGTCATCGATGTATCTTAACCATAGTTTGGGTTTGTGGGTGGCATTAGCCAGGGCTCTGGATTCGAATTCTTCCACGAACAGGTTTGCAATGACGGGTGACAGTGGTGATCCCATAGGGGCTCCTTCAATTTGCTTGTATCTTTGTCCTTTGTATATGAAATATGTGTTGGTTAAGCAGTGTTCTGCTAGTTCCATGAGGTGTTTAGCTGGTTGGTATTTATTTTTGATGATTTCAAGAGTTTCTTTTATCGGGACTTGAGTGAATAGTGAAACCACGTCGAAACTTACAAGCAGATCTTCTTGTTCCATGTGTAGATCTTTGATCATTTCCAAGAGGTGGTATGAGTTTTGTACATGTGAAGCTGCTGTTTCAGCATGGGGCTGTAGCTGCTTTGCTAAGTGTTTAGCTAGGTTTTGTAGTGGTGCTCCTCTGGAGCTGTATATGTATATGTGTATATATGTGTGTGTGTGTGTGTGTGTGTGTGTGTGTGTGTATATATCACACACACACATATATATATATAAACAAATATGCAGTAATATATAAACAAATATAACATCAATCATATTATAACATCTTCCATTATAGTATTGATTACATAACTATCAGAAATATTTACTCATCTGTATTTCTTTCTCCTATAAACCTTATTTCACCTAATTCCACTCCTCTAACCTCAGTATCTGTCATTTAACCATTTATCAAATAGTTCCCATATTATGAAGTAGTCTGGGTCTTCTTGTCAGGTGTGGCTCCATTCAAAACCCAAGAAAGGAAACCTTAGACTCCGTTTTATAAAGAAAAGGACTTTTAGTGAATATGAAGTGGTAGCAACAGGAGATCTGAGGGCAATAGGCGCGAAAATCACATATAGAAAGTTACCCCGTGTCCCCACCCCCAATAATTCAAACCGGGCATCCAATCTGAGGTGTGTGCATAATGTCAGGTGGTGTCTCAGACATCTGGGATGCCAAGATGGTTGACCTTGGCCTAGAAAAGATAAAAGGGGCTGCATTTACACAGTAAGCAAGAAAGCACCCCAACTTTTACAATTCACACAACTTCAACCTCCACCCTTCCCCCCACTAGGCCCAATTATTCCTCCTCCCCGTTTCTATGGCAGCTGGAAAGAGTCAAGCAAAAGAAGGAATCTCGAAGGCTGACATTTCTTTTCCTTTAATTTTTAGGGTTAACCTATCCCATTTCTGCCCATTCCAGAATTCAAGCCCGTTTTTCTTGTCTGTCTGTTTCCTAACCCCCCCCCAGGTCTGGAAGGCGGTGGGATGGAGGCTGATCGCCCTTTCCCTGGGCCTCTATGGACTCCTTTACATCTATGAGCGCCTCACCTGGACCACGAAGGCGAAAGAGAGGGCCTTTAAGCGCCAGTTTGTGGACTACGCCGGGGAGAAGCTCCAGCTCATCGTCAGCTACACCGGCTCCAACTGCAGCCACCAAGTGCAACAGTGAGTGAAGCCCTCCCTCCCACTGGGTCCAGCTCCTGCCCATGCAGCCTGAGTTTCAGGCTAGTGTTTTGCGAAATGCAGGCAGTTCCTCGACTTATGACCGTTCATTTAGTGACTGAGGTTAACAACAGCACTGAAAAAAGTGTTCTGACTGAGGCTTCCTGAGGACTGTAATTAAGCACACATTTAGTCCAAACAACTCTTGTTTTATTTCAACGCTGGGAATTATATGCATTCCCAGCCCGTAATGAGTCCCAAACAGTCCCCCGAGATAAGCACCCACCTTTCTCTCCTTTGAATGGCTGCCAACAACTAGACTGCCAAATGAACTGTAAAAAGCCAAACGAAGTACAAAGTCCACACAGAGCTTCAAGGTTGAATCCGAACAAAGCGAAAGACTTTGCTTCCTGCAAAGATTTCTCTCCCTTTGTCTGTCCTTTATATCTTAAGGGAGGATCAATCACCTCCCAGCCTTACTCCTGAGTGGCCCCTTTTGTCTTAGCTGTTCTTGCCTTCTGGCAGCTCTGCGCACACACGCACTGGCAACAGGCTCCCCTTGTTTTTCTGCCTCGCTGCTGCCAGACTCCAAAGGCTCCAGTCAGCACATAACTCCTGGATGATCCTGGCCCCATCTCTGTATCGGATGCAGGACCTTCGTCTGAGTTCTCCCTAGACTCCCGGACTGGTCCCCGTTCTTCCCCACTGTCCTATTCCACTGCCGTCTAAACAGGCTGCCGGCAAACCACAACAGTAGTGTCCTGGGGTCAGGTGATCTGCTTTTGCGACCACCCGACAAGCAAAAAAAAAAGGGGGGGGGAATTTCAGATTCACTGAACCATCAGGCTACTAACTTAACAAATGCAATGATTCACTTAACAACTGTGGCAAGAGTTGTAAAATGGAGCACACAAATGTTTCACTTAGCAATTTGGGCTCAATTGTGGTCGTAACTCGAGGACTACCTGTATTAGATTTATATGTGGGGGGCGGAAGGCTTTTCTTTCATTGAGCTAAGTGTCTTTTCCCCTTTCCCCCCCTTTTTTTTTGAATATTTTTTTTTTCCTTTTCCACTTTAAAACCATCTCGTCCAAGGGAACTGGCGGGAACCTTCGCTCAGCTTTGCCAGCAGGTGGATGTGACGAGAGAAGATCTGGAGAAAGAACTTGCAGGCCTGAATCAAAAGATTGAGATTTTGGATACTTTACAGAGCAGAGCCAAGTTACTCAGGTATGGCGCTGCCAAAGTTTCTGTGTTTGTCACTGCTGGATGGGGTGGTGGGTGTTGATTTTACATAAAACCGGTGCCTTGTTTTGCACTTGCTGGATTTTAGATTTTCAAATTCTGCCATTAAATAATATCCACTACTTCTTGATCTAGGCAAGAACAGAAAATGTATTCACCTTTTTTGTTGTCACTGTTACATTCGGGCACTCCCATTCATTCCTGTTCTTGTAATTAACATGTTGTTACGTCTGTATTAAGGCATTGCAGACATTCTTTGTGAGGGAACATCCTCTTTCAGCCACTTCCTTTTTCAAACCTAGTTTGAGATTATTTAAATCTGGAGTCCCACTTAAAAACATTAGTAAGTCAAGGAGGACAATGCTCGCAAAACAAGCCATCCCTTGACGATGTATTTTCAAGCCTTCATCAAATGGACAGGTAATTATGTTCACGGTTATGAATGTGCCTGATGTGGAAAGCTTTAAAAAAAAAAACACTCTTTCCTGCCGTGATCAAAATACAAAAGCTTTATATAGGTCTCCTGCTTGACCAGGGGGCTGGACTAGAAGACCTCCAAGGTCCCTTCCCTTCCAGGTCTACTCCATTCTGCAGTATTCTGTATTCGAAAAAGGTCCTTGGTGTTTTCAATATTAATGACTCGGTTTGGTATGCTCAGGCTCAGTTTGAGCCAAACGGGTAGGGACGCGGTGGCTCGGGGGCTAAAATGCTGAGCTTGCCGATCAGAAAGACGGGCAGTTCGGCGGTTCGAATCCCTAGCGCCACATGATGGAGGGAACTCCCGTTCCTTGTCCCAGCTTCTGCCAACCTGGCAGTTTGAAAACATGTTTAAAAATGCAAGTCGAAAAATAGGGAGCACTTTGGTGGGAAGGGAACAGCGCTCCTTGCGCCTTTAGTCGTGCTGGTCACATGACCACGGAGACGTCTTCGGACAGCGCTGGCTCCTCTTCGGCTTTGTGATGGACTTGAGTATCACCCGCTAGAGCCGGAAACGACTAGCACGGATGTGCGAGGGGAACCCTTTACCTTAAGCAAAACTGGCTTTAATGGATTTAACCTAGCAGGTAAAAGGCTATAAGTTCTTTCTTTCTTTCTTTCTTTTTTTTAATACGAGTTCTCTGCCTCTACAGGAATAAAGCTGGATGGCTGGACAGCGAGCTGAACATGTTCACACATCAGTATTTGCAACAGAGCAGATAAGCCACCGAAATGGGGAGTCCACGGGGAGGCTGCCTGCTCCCCCCTACTCCTTCCCAGTCACACTACTGGGAAAACAATTCCAGATGATGGGAACTTTTTTTGGGGGGGGGGGGGGGGAAGTGGAAAGTCTTCGATCCTCTTGGCTCCCATCCCTTCCGTGCACACAGTTATTTTGAAACCTGTTTTCTGCTCCCGTCGGCGCTTCTATTCTCGTAGCCAGCCCTTGCAATCTTAGCCATTTGGGGCTCAGTAGGAAGAAAGTTGACAACCCTGATGGCTGGGATATCCCAACCCCCGGATCTAATCCCGTGACTCGTTTTATTTTAGCCCATCCGTGAAATAGCAGCTTAATTTGCTGCTGCTGTTGTTTTTTTTAGTGGGTGTGGAATGAAATTAACCCCGATGCCTGCTTGCCACAAATGAACGACTCTGTCTCGCCGAAAGGGAACCTTTATCGTAATGTATAGGACAACATTGGGTGCATCCCAGACCAATTCAGAGCTTGGCTTCTGAATTTTGGAAAGCAATCTTCGGGTCTCCTCAACCTTGTAATCCCCTCCTCTCCTTTATTGCGCTTGTGACACAGCGAGAGGGCTAAATGCCCTTCTGTCCTGATCCTCAGGTTTCTGTGATCTTATTAGGATCACCGTGTCTTTTTTTTCCCTGCGGCTTTTGCGCTGAAACAGCCCTCCTTGGGGGGGGGGGGGGGCAGTCCTTACGAAGTTAACCAAGTTAATTTCAAGCACTGATGAATTTATTTGAGGGTGTGTGCAAGTGGGATGAGAGCGACGCACGAAGTTAAGACGGGTGAAACGTAAGAAAAAGGTTCAGAGGAGAAATTCGGACAGTTGCGTCTTGTGTCTCTTCCTTCAAGCGAGGGTGGATAGAATTAATCAGCTGTAATGGATTTTGATGTCTTGACTGTTTCTCTCTTTTATTTTTCTCGCTCTTCCTTTGTTTATGAACCCTTTCACGACTTCTGCAATTGTCTCTTGTACCTTTGGATTTATTTTTATTTTATTTTTTTGGAGGGGGATAAATTAACGACGCTGCTCCCATTTCAATCCGGCCTCCTCCCTTTCAAAATTACAGTTTTCCAAAATACCCCTAAATTGGCAGGTCTCTTATTTCCTCCTGGGTCCAAGGGAGGCCCACTCCAGGAGGTGTTGGTTTGGGGAGGGGGCACGCACTGAGGGTAGCTTGTGCCAGTCTAATCCGCGCAGAGGTCACAATTGGGATGATTCTGACGTTTCTTTGGGCCGAAAGATCCTCCAGTTACCGTGGTTTTCAGCCTTGGCACTTCGATGTGTGGACTTCAACTCCCAGAATTCCTCAGTCAGCTGGCTAGAGAATTCTGGGAGTTGAAGTCCACACATCTTCAAACTTCATGCCACCTTCTCTTCCGTGTGATTTTGGGGTTTGTTTGGGGTCTATTTCTCCTTTCCTCACCATTCTCACTTGGGGACATTTAATCCTCTTTCCAGCCAGCTCAGCCAAATGTTTGGGAATCTGACAATTTGGGGTTTGGCCACCGATCGGTTGTAAGCGTGGACCCCTAGAAACGCTGAGGGTTAACAAGAGTTTCCCCCCAAAATGCACTTTACCTTTTATTTTTAACGCTGCTAAGTTTGGTGTTCATTTTAATTTCTAGCAAGGCATTCAAAATCCTCCTGATGGTGTTTTCTCTGTTTTATTTTATTTTGTGTGTGTGTGAGGGTGGGGGGAACTGTAGGATTTGGGAATAAAGATGCTATTAACTAAGTTGACCTGATAATTGTTTCTAGCTGCATCAAATGCTGTTAATAATCACAAAGCGGAATTAAAAAGGAACAAATGGACGGAAACTTTCTTCTGTCTTTTGTTTTCTTGGATAAAAAAAAGATATTTTCCTTTGGCAAATCTCTGTTGTGCAAAGTGTTTCTTTTCACCTCTGCAAAGGGGTTTTTTTTTTTTTTTGGTCTGAATTTTTATCTGGATGACGGTATGTTGCCTGATCCCAGCTGGGGATGGGAAGGGAAAGACACTTTGTGCCTTTCATTCTGCTCTCCAGTGAGCTTGCAAGCGATGGCACAGTGCCTCTAGGCATGTACAGAGGGTGGTTAATATTTCAGAGCGTCCAATCTTTTATTTACATGTCTTTTTCTGGATTATATATATATATATCTGTGTATCAATCTATCTATCTATCTATCTATCTATATCTATATCTATCTATCTATCTATCTATCTATATATATATATATATATATAGAGAGAGAGAGAGAGAGAGAATCTTCTTTTTATAGTGTATGTGTGTGTGTATATATATATATATATATATATATATATATAATCTATATGTGTGTGTATATATCATATATACACACACATACATACATATACCCACATATAAAATCTGTGCATGTATGTGTGTGTGTATATATCATCTCTCTCTCTATATATATATATACACACATACATACACATACACACATATACATAAATATAAACTTACATAATATAAAATAAACTTACAAACTTACATAAACTTACATAAGTATAAAATCTATGTGTGTGTGTATATATGTATAGCTGAAAGCATCGAAAGCACCAGCCTGAGGATGGCGGGTGGGACCTCGCCAAAACGTCGCCAAGATACTCTTAATCTTACACGGGAAAAGACCCGAACATACCTAGACTTACATACATATATATATATATATATATATACACACACACACAAAATCTGTGTATATAATTCTGTGTGTGTGTGGAGAAAGAGAGAGAGAGAGAGAGAGATTTAATCTCAGTAATCCCCTCTGAGTTTTGTGAA